TCCTCATCCTCCTCCCCCTCCTCCTCCTCCTGTTGGACTCCCGTTGGACTCAGGAAGCCCCGTCACCGCGCACGAGGCCGTAGCGATGAGGTAGCAAAAATACGACAGTGACGCTACTCAGGCTGGCCCACCGAGACCCAACCCTGAGTAGACCAGACAAGGGGCACCGATCTCCCAACATACGACTTAGTGCTGGGGTTGGTGCCGGCTTTCAGCTGTTTTAAAGTCCCTGCTGTATGGCGATTGCCAGGCCCCTTGGGACACACAGAGCTTAGGTTGCGCGATCTGCTCTCGCCGAAGGCCCCGCAACGCGAGCACCAGGCAACACGACCACCCATCAACCACACGCTATGTGTCCTGTGGCTGTACCTGGCAACCCTTGGAGGGCCACCGCAGGGAAACGCTGAAACGGCGGCACGAGACTTTCCTTTCTCGCCGCAGCGCAAACACCTAAAGGCTGACTTGCCGACCTTTTCGATGGCATGGCCCTTGGGATCAGGCACCAGCTCCAGGAGACACGGCTTGGCCCTTCTAGGCCGACGAAGCCGAGCCACATCAGGAAAGGACCGAGAACTGAGCCCATCCATAACTTCGGCAATCAACCAGGCAGCTTGCTGTACTCTGGGCAGCTGCAATTCATATAACTCCCTAGTAGACGGATTTGAAGGCTGGATTATGGCTCCTTTCTTGGCCAGCTCATCCGCCTTCTTATTCCCTCTCCATTTCCATTCCTCAATCCTACGCACACGGGACTTATGGAGGGATAAGTGGGACTCTATTTTGCTAAGCGTCACTCTCTCGCGGCCTATGTCGCCCCCGAGGCGGAAGATGTCAACCCAAATCTCCGAGAAGGCGACTTTCTCTAGATCCTGTTTGGGCCCACCATTCCATACATATATAACATATAACCATCGCACGGTCTGTCACCACTTCCATGGGCTCTGGTCCAGCAAGCTTGAGGCACATGTAGAGGGCATAGACTTCCCCACACCCAGCAACCTGCACCGCATGTGAGAGTGGTCCGTAAGCGGACCCATGAACCCAACCTCCGAAACCATCAGGAAACACAGACACCACGGCCCATCCAGCTCTGGAAAACTGAAGTAACTCGGGGTCCAGCCCAGACCCGTCAATACAAACCCGAGGCCCGAGGACACCGTCAGGCGGTACAACTTCCCACCTGTGGCCAGCAACTGCGAACGGCGCTGGCCAACCCACTGGAGCCTTCAGGAGCCCTCGGGCAATGAGCAACTCTGTTTCCTCGCCTTCAGGTTCGGCCAGGAGATCATGCACATCAAGGTCCCTCCGTAGAGGGGCAGAACAATCGCAACACTGGAAGCGGTGTCGCGCGGTGCCCAAGGCTGCACCGCACGCCTGGCAAAACGGGCCGATCACCCGCCGATCGTTGAAGAGACGGAGCTGAGTCGGATACCCTCCTGCCACCACTCCTGCTAACCCGTTCGCTGCATTCTGCCTGCCCTGCTTACGTAACCTGGCCAGGACCTCCAAAATCGGCCCCAACATAGGCTTCCCATGTAGTACAGGAATGCGAACCCCGCCCCCAAGCTCAGTGAGAAGCATATCCCGAACACTCTGATGCAAAACCATCTTCAAGGAACGATGGCCTAACTCTAATATATCGACATGGACTCCAGCGCGCGTGCGAAAAATGTGCCAGTCTATGATCGCCCAGCCAAGCCGCTCGATCGTGAGCACCACTGCTCCTGCAGGCCCACGAACATCCTGCCACCCACGAGCAGCGCGGCTGTGAAACTCTCGAAAGCTGGCCAACATACTGTTGCGCGGGATCCAGTTCTGACGGGCCGCTTGGCCCCGCATCAAGATGGGTAAGGAGTGCGCGTCGTAATTGGGGTCACTCTTGGGGTCCACAGAGAGCAAGAACTCGAGGGTACGGCAACGACCTTTGGGCGTCCCAAACAGTGCTTGTCCCAGCGTGCTGCGTAGTTGTGCAAGTCTAGCGGTCGCCATGCCCTGCGCCCTGCATCCATGCGTAACCGACGCGAGACCTCCAGATCGGGCAACCCGAAACATACCCTTGCGTGAACTCCGAAGCCCTCGAATACGGCCAGCCCGAACCCGAAGCTTCCGAAGACGTTTAGATAAAGTCTTGACTCCTCGAGAACCCTTCTGCATAGTCTGATCCACACCTAGGTTCCTCCCAGAATGCACCCCTTCAAAGTTCCATCGACTCAGCATGCGCACAAGGCAGACTCTGGTGGCCGAGTGACTGCTCATCGCCAGGCCCTTCGACTGGGAGATCACTAAATGCAGCTTCTCGAGAAGCGTGCACAGCAGGAGCGCGGCGCGTGGCAGCACAAACTCCACATGCCTGCTAGTACCTGCTGACTGCGCTGTGATGTCGTCCACCACGTTATACAGCGGCACGCTAGGATACAGCTCGCACGCACGGTCCAGTGGAGCTGTGAGCATCAAGGCAAGCAACGACGTGGCGAACCCGCAACCCGCTAGAACACCCTGCAATGCTACCACTGGCTGTCCTACCACTCCCATCACCTGTACTATCCCCCTCCCACGATACAAAGACAGTAGCAGGCGCAGCAGAGTGAGGCTGAAGCTGTACTGGACCGCCGCCTTGGCCAATAAAAAAAGCAGACCTTCTCATAGGCCTTCGTCAGATCGATGAGCACCGACGCCGCGCAGCCTCCTTCACTGAGATGCTGCTCGACCGCTATGCTCTGATCCCACACCGCGCGCTCGCAGCTGCGACCAGCAACGCCATAGTGGTACGAGCGGCGGTTCTCTCGCTCCCATTGCTCAACTTCGAGCCCAGCAAGCTTGGAGAACACACGCGAGGGAGTGGGAGGCAGAGCAATGAGGCGAAAACCTCCATCAGGCTTACCTAGCATCGCGAGGATCGTGGCCAAGAGGAGCGAGGGGTACGTACCAAGAACCTCCATCTTGTGCCAAAGAACCGCAAGAACCTCCAGGAGCCCGTCGGCGGCCTCATCGAGATCTCGGGGGCGAAGGGCGTCGATCCCAGGAGCCGTGCGTTTCCTGAATTTACGCACCGCCCCTCTGATGTCCTCCACCGTCCTGGCCTTCATGCGCATCTCCTCCACCTGCATCCCTTTCTCCTCAGCCTGGGCATTGATCTGATGAGTAAGGTACTCAATGTGGTCAGGGTACTTATCAGTGTCTTTCTGGGGCTCCCAAAGACCGGCCCAGTAGTCGGTCAGGGCATCGACCTGCCCTTGAGGGCCCAGCGGGGCCGGAACACCAGATTGAGAACCAACCTCAGAAGGCACCCACCCAAGCGGACACTGAGTATACTTGCGGGCAGCTCCTCCCCCATTAGTCACCGCCTCAGCCGCCCAATCCACTGCTTGCCACGAGTAGCGGTGTAGGCCCTCTCTGTCTTCGTCGCAGCCTTCTCAGCCTGTGCAAGGAGGTCCGCGAGCTGAGTGGCGCTGGCAGCGTACAAATGACTGAAGCTGGGGGCCCAGGCCATCCAGTCGGGATTGGATCTGAGCTCCTTGGGGCCTCTGGCCAGGCCGCGCAAGATGCCCATGCAACAAACATTGCCCCACGCGGGGCCTTTGAGAAGGTACAGCAGTTCCCCCAACCACTTACATATCCTCCTCCAACCTCGGCGCTCTGAGCTGGCAAGCGGGCACGGCCCGCCAGAGAGACGAATCGCCGAGACAGTGACCTGCTGCGGGGGATAGCCTCGACCAAAGTGGCTGCGCTCGCGCTGCAGCCCATGATGCTCGGCCAGCTCAAGTTCCAACTCTACAACAAAACGCATGTAACAATCGTCCAGCTCCTCCTTCCTCTCAATGCTATCAACCTCCTGCAACAACCCTCCATAGTCCCCGGGCTGGCACCTCGGGCCTACGACGAGCTCTGTCGGGAAAAGGCGCGGCAAGCGGAGGATGTTGCTCATCCAAGGGCCTGCCTTTAAAGTTGACCACCACTGGCCAATGAGGTTTGACAGATGCCGTCCTGCTGATCTCACAAGACAAGACGTTGGCAGCGAGACCCGCGGACAGGACGAAATAATCACTCGTGCGCCATTTCTTAGCAGTCGACTTACACGTGTACGAACCAGGACGGACGATGCGACCACGAAGTCTCGAATGCCAGCCCATCTCCTGAAGTACCTCTGGAGTAGCGTTCCAGTCCCCACCCAAGACGAACGGGAGCCCCAAGGATTGCAAAACTTCCCCGACCCTTCCGAGGATTTCACTGCCAACGGCCCCCAATGGATCGCCATCAGGTAAGTAGATTGAACCGAGCACAAAACCTCCAGGAATGTACGCATTCACCCATCTCAACTGAATGCGCTCAGGAAACGGCAACGCACGAGGTGTGGACGGCGGGGGGCCCATGCCAACATGTGACTTGCAGCACGCATCCACACCTGCAGACAGCCCACCTGCCTCGGTGACAACTGGTGCCCCGATGCTGACATTCCAAGCCCGCTTGCGAAATAGATCCTCTGAAGCGACCCGCTCCTTCTCCTCCGCAGCAACCTCCTGTAAAACCACGACATGGCTCTCGCACTCCCCGTCGAGAAACCGTTTCGCGGACTCCCGGGACGTCGTGTTGCGCGCTGTGATGGAACAATATGTACAATTATCCTCTCCAGTCCCCAGGCCCCCCGCCCGGGCTGGCCGTCGTGGGCCTTCCACCTCGAGCGGGCACGTGTTAAAGTCGGGCTCACCTCGGGGGCTGGGGGAACGGGCTTAGGGATCGGCATCGCAGGCGGGGCGGCAACTGGTGGGGGAGGGACGCCCCGAGGAAGAAGCCAGAACGGCCCAGGAGGCCCAGACACCGAAGCCCCCCCCCCCCAGGGCCGAGACCGAGACAGGCCCCCAGTTGCCAGCCTCCCTGGAGCCGCCTTGCCCAGAGACCACCAAGCAACCTCCAGTTGCCTGGGAGCTTCGGTGACCCATTCACCGAACCCAAGTGAATAAAGCCCGCTGCTGCCAGGCCAAAGCTCACAAAACGACCCAGAGTCAGGCTGACTCTGGCCCCTCAGGTCCAGACCCACAACCCCTGTGGATGTCGAGCCCGAACTTCCAGTCGTACTCGACTGCTCCCTCCAGCGATTCCCGCCGCCCGAGTTCCACAGGCATTGGGTCTCCACCTTCTCGGGGAACAGCCAGGGCCACGCACTCGACCAGGTACCAGTGGTAATCGAAAAAAACGACCACCTGCAGCGCCTCGATGTCGAGGCCCTCGTTGATGCTAAAGTGCAGACCCTTTGTCCGCGCCAGGGCCCTTGCCACCAGCTTCTCCTTTGCCATCAGACACTCTCTCCTGGGCGATGGCCTCATCCAGGATGCGCTGGGCCTTCGCCTTGAAGTCCTCGGGGTCGATCTCGATGGTCCCATCAGGCACGTCATCACCAGGAACTGGGGTGGCCTCCGCCATCTGCCCCCCTCCTCCAGGTACTCCAGCAGGTTGAGAAGTTGAGGCCTCCCCGCGCCCTGAACCTTCATCATCAGGCCCTCGACGCCGCTTGGTCTTGAGCCTCTCGCGAAGCTCCTCCTGCTCCTTCCGAGCCAGCTCCGCCTTCGTCTTGAGCTCGCCGAGCAGCGCCGTGGCGGTCTCGCGGAACCGCTCCTTGAGCTCCTGCTCGCGCTTCTTGGCCTGTTGGCGGTCCTCGCCCGACACATCGACGAACTCCGCCAGGCCGAACAGGTCCTCACCGCAGGTGAGCTCCCACTTACTGAGGTCCCCAGCCACGATATCAGCCAAGTTGAAAACCGTCTTCTGGGGCTTGGCCACCTGATGCAACTCGGTGGCTGCATCACGGTACTGCTGCTCTTGTACCGCGAGCTGCTGCATCGTCTGGCGCAGCATGTCTCGCTTCGTGTCCAGGTCCTTCTGGATGGTGGTGGTCTCCTCAGTCTGGGCCTTGACCATGCCCTCCAGCGTCTTGTACGCCTTGTAGGACTGGTCCGCCCGCTGCTGAGGAGCGGGGCGTGACTCCTTGAGCACCAGCAGCTGCTCGTAGTAGGCCACCATGGCAGGCGAATGTGATTTGCGGGCCAACTGCAATCTTTGGCGCACCTTTTCGACGGACATGTCGGGTGCGAGGTCAGCTCCAGCGCCTGCCACCAGCCCAACAGGAAGAGGAGCACCTTGAGCCAGCCCAGGCGGACTATCAGGGGCGCTCTGGTCGCGGCCCTTGCCCGCACGGTTCGCCTTGGGTTGGCTGCCTGGCCACCGTTGTTGCCCCCGTTGTCGCCAGAAGGCGGGGGGCGATCACGCCAGTGTCCATGGCAATGCTTGCACCATGATTGGTCCCAGGGCGCCTTGCCACAACCGCAATGTATGCACTTCCACAGTCGCGCCTTCGAGCCATTCGCAGCCATGGAACGGGCGCAACACGAGAACTGCCGCGGGAAGCAAGAAGAAAAGGCCTCCCCACCCTGGGCAGGGCTGCTGATCGAGGAATTGGCCGCGGTCCCTCAACCACCTCGAGCCCCGACCCTGGGGGAGGCGAAGCCCCAGGCAATGGCCTTGAGCCAAGGGCTTGAGCCAAATGGCTACGGACCCTCCTCCTCCTCCTCCTCCTCCTCCTCCTCCTCCTCCTCCTCCTCCTCCTCCTCCTCCTCTTACTCCTCCTCCCGCCTCCGAAGCGTCGGCTCCCGAGGGGGCGGTGTCCCAGAGCTTCGCCAGCGGGTGGGGCTAGGGGCGCGCGAGCGCAGCGCCTCGTCGCGCCTCTTCAGCTCGGCGATCTCCCCCTGGACGAGCTCCGTCGCCTGCCAGGCCCTCCCTCCTGCATCGCTCCCTCATCCCTCGTCGTCGTCGCCCTGCTCCTCCTACTCCCCCTTTGGACGTTGGCCATACATATTAATTTGGGCTGTTGCTTTCTTCCAGTAACGCTGCGTTTGCGTGGCGCGATAAAACATAAAGAGTGCCGACGTAAATCTGTAGGTCAACAATTTTCTCCTCCTTTGCCTCCTCCTCCTCTTCCGCCTCCTCCTCCTCCTCTCCCCTGAGATCTGGGCGTTGCATTTTTGTTGCGCACTGCTTTTGTGTCGGTCGGTGTCGGGCCCCGGGATCATCGCAGAAATGTGAGGTCGAGGGCGTCGCGTTGTTTCGCTATGATGCATGTTTCCGCAACGTGTCGGATCTCAGGGTCCCGCCTCCCAAGCTCTGCACATCCTCGCTCCACTTCCATCCTTTCCGCTCATATTTCTCCTCCCAAGTTCCGCTTCACCCTGCTCGTCCTCCTCCCTCCTCCCTCCTCCCTCCCTCCTCCTTTTTCCCCCTCCTCCTCCTCCTCCTCCTCCTCCTGTTCTTCTTCATATTATTAGCCATATTAGTATGAGTGATAGTATTACTAGTACTCTTATTATTCTTAATACTATTATTCTTACTATTACTATTAATATTCTTAATATTTTTATTCATATGTTTCGTCTTATTATTCTTGGTATTCTTATTACTATCATTGTCATTATTATCATCATTAGTTTTATTAGTTCCCCAAACAGCTTGCTGAACGGGGTGCTGTTGTGGTAGAAACTAACTCCGGCCGAGGGAACGCGGAGCAAGGACATCCTCACACAATTTTTATGGTTTTGGCCGTTTCGCTTGAGACATCCTCACAACTCTCGTTTCTGAGTTGGCCGGGATTGGCTGTTTCGCCTGAGACATCCTCGAAAAATTGCGCCCTCGAAACTCTGAGCCCCGAGGTGCCGTGCGAGAGGTGGTCCGGGCCGTTTCGCCTGAGCCATCCTCGAACTTCTGAGCTCTGAGATGCCCTGCGCGAGGTGGTCCGGCCAGTCTCGCCTGAGACATCCTCGCAACTCTGAGCTCTGAGATGCCGTGCGCAAGGTGGTCCAGCCTGTTTCGCACAAGACATTCTCGCAACTCTGAGCTCTCAGATGCTGCGCAGAGGTGGTCCAGCCTGGGGGCCCAGAAGACCACATGTTACATATCCTCCATGGGACCCTGCGAGCCTCAGGAGGCCCCAGAGAGGTCCAGGAGGCCGCAGGACGCCCAGGACAGGCCCCAGGGGCCCCAGGAGATTGCCAGGAGGCTCCCAGGAGGCCCCAGGAGGCCCTCTATCAGAACGTGTCAAGTTAATACATATCTGGTGTCGATTCGTTGATTTTTCCTGCTCTTGTGCCCCCCCTCCCCTCCATTTTGAGGGGCCCAAGCGGCCTCAGGTTAGATATCCCCCCTGGGAGCCCCAAGAGGCTTCAGGAAACCTCAGGTGGAGTTCAGGAGGCCACGGGAGGTCCAGGAGGAAGCTCCAGGAGGTCCCCAGGAGGCCCCAGGAGGCACCAGGAGGCCGCAGGACGCCCAGGACAGGCCCCAGGGGTCCCCAGGAGATTCCCAGGAGGCTCCCAGGAGGCCCCAAGAGGCCGCCTATCAGAACGTGTCAAGTTACTACACATCCGGTGCCGATTCGTTGATTTTTCCTGCTCTTGTGCCCCCCCTCCATTTGGAGAGGCCCAAACGGCCACAGGTTAGATATCCCCCCTGGGAGCCCCAAGAGGCTTCAGGAAACCCCAGGTGGAGTTCACGAGGCCACAGGAGGCCCAGGAGGAAGCTCCAGGAGGTCCCCAGGAGGACCCAGGAGGCACCAGGAGGCCCCCGCAACTCGGAGCTCTGAGACGCCGCGCTCGAGGTGGTCTGGCCCGTTTCGCCTGAGACTTCCTCGCACCACGTTTCGCCCGAGACATCGTCGCAACTCTGGGCTCCGAGATGCCGTTCGGGATGAAGAGGAGGCGGAGGAGGAGGAGGAGGAGGAGGAGGAGGAGGAGGAGGAGATGGAAGGGAGAAGGAGGAGGCGGATGATGTGCATGAGGGAGCAGGCAGGAGGAGGGGGAGGACCCAGAGAGCTTCAGGAGGCCGCAGGACGCCCAGGACAGGCCCCAGGGGTCCCCAGGAGATTCCTAGGAGGCTCCCAGGAGGCCCCAGGAGGCCGCTTATCAGAACGTGTCAAGTTAATACACATCCGGTGTCGATTCGTTGATTCTTCCTGCTCTTGTGCCCCCCCTCCATTTGGAGAGGCCCACATGGCCACAGGTTTGATATCCCCCCTGGGAGCCCCAAGAGGCTTCAGGAACCCCCAGGTGGAGTTCACGAGGCCACAGGAGGCCCAGGAGGAAGCCCCAGGAGGCTCCAGGAGGCACCAGGAGGCCCCCGCAACTCGGAGCTCTGAGACGCCGCGCTCGAGGTGGTCCGGCCCGTTTCGCCTGAGACTTCCTCGCAGCACGTTTGCCCGAGAAATCGTCGCAACTCTGGGGTCCGAGATGCCGCGCGCGAGGTGGTCCAGCCCGTTACGCTGGAGACATCCTCGCAACTCTAGGCTCCGAGATGCCGTTCGGGATGAAGAGGAGGTCGAGGAGGAGGAGGAGGAGGAGGAGGAGGAGAAGGAGAAGGAGATGGAAGGGAGAAGGAGGAGGCGGATGATGTGCATGAGGGAGCAGGCAGGAGGAGGGGGAGGAGGAGGAGGAGGAGGAGGAGGAGGAGGAGGAGGGAGAAGGAAGGGAGTTGCAGGAGAAGACCTAGCGGGAAGCGAGTGCGATGTGGACTTGTCAAAACGTGTGCGAAAGATTGTCCGGCCCGTTTCGTTTGAGACATCCTTCCAATACTGAAGGCATGAACGATTCTTGCCCCGGTGCCGGTGCCGGTGCCGGTGCCGGTGCCGGTGCCGGTGCCGGTGCCGGTGCCGGTGCCGGTGCCGGCGCCGGTGCCGGTGCCGGTGCCGGTGCCGGTGCCGGCCGGTGCCGGTGCCGGTGCCGGTGCCGGTGCCGGTGCCGGTGCCGGTGCCGGTGCCGGTGCCGGTGCCGGTGCCGGTGCCGGTGCCGGTGCCGGTGCCGGTGCCGGTGCCGGTGCCGGTGCCGGTGCCGGTGCGGGTGCCGGTGCCGTGCCGGTGCCGGTGCCGGTGCTGGTGGCCGGTGCCGGTGCTGGTGCCGGTGCCGGTGCTGGTGCCGGTGCCGGTGCCGGTGCCGGTGCCGGTGCTGGTGGCCGGTGCCGGTGGCCGGTAGCCGGGGCTGGTGCCAGTGCCGGGGCCGGTGCCGGTGCCGGTGCTGGTGCTGGTGGCCGGTGCTGGTGCGGGTTCTTGTTTTCCCAAAACATCCTCTCCTTCTCCCTCCCGCCTCCCGCCTCCCAGTGCCCCTTCCGCCCCTCCAGGGAGGCCCCGCCTGAGCGAGGAGGGTAACGGAAACCCATACTCTTTACATGGTTTCGTGCCCTTCCCACCTCTCCAGAGAGGCCCCGCCTGAGCGAGGAGGGTATCCCACCCCTCCAAAGAAGCCCCGCCTGAGCGAGGAGGGTATCGGAAACCCATACTATTTACATGGTTTCGTGCCCCTCCCACCCCTCCAGGGAGGCCCCGTCTGAGCGAGGAGGCTATCGGAAACCCATACTATTTACATGGTTTCGTGCCCCTCCATCCCCTCCAGGGAGGCCCCGCCTGAGCGAGGAGGGTATCGGGAACCCGTACTATTTACATGGTTTCGTGCCCTTCCCAACTCTCCATGGAGGCCCTGCCTGAGCGAGGAGGGTATCGGAAATGAATAAAGATTACATGGTTTCGTGCTCCTCCCACCCCTCCAGGGAGGCCCCGCCTGAGCGAGGAGGGTATCGGAAACCCATATTATTTACATGGTTTCATGCCCTTTCCATCCCTCCAGGGAGGCCCCGCCTGAGCGAAGAGGGTACCGGAAACCCATACTATTTACATGGTTTCATGCCCTTCCCACCTCTCCAAGGAGGCCCCGCCTGAACGAGGAGGGTATCGGAAACCCATGCTATTTACATGGTTTCGTGCCCCTCCCACCCCTCCAGGGAGGCCCCGTCTGAGCGAGGAGGGTATCGGAAACCCATGCTATTTCCATGGTTTCGTGCCCCTACCACCTCTCCAGGGAGGCCCCGTCTGAGCGAGGAGGGTATCGGAAACCCATACTATTTAAATGGTTTCGTGCCCCTCCCACTGACACGGGTGAGGAGGGAGGGAGAACATTACCTATCCATCTCACGTCCTACTCCTCCCGGTGAGGAGGGTGAGGAGGAGGGGGAGTTCTGCGATGAGGAAGGCTTCATCATGATGATGGTGATGACGATGGTTATACTGCTGTTCACGATGATGATGATAATGGCGATAATGGTGATGGACGATGACGATGGCGATAACCGTGATTATGATGATGATGCTGATGATGATGACGATGATGGTGATGACGATGACGATGATGACAACGATGGCGACGACGACGAGGATGATGATGCAGATGCTGGTGATAATGACGATGCTGCTGCTGATGCTGACGCTGTTGGTGCTGAGGATGATGATGACGACGATGATGCTGATGATCATGACTCCCACGATGATGCGGACGATGACGATGCCAACCAAGGACGGTGATGGTCATGATGATGACGATGCTGATGAATATGATGATGATGACGATGATGATGATGATGATGATGATGATGATGGTGGCCACGACAATGATGATGACGATGACGCTGGCGATGATGATGATTATGATGATGATGCTGATATATGATGATGAGGATGATGATGGTTATGATGATGCCGATGATGCTGACGATGATGATGATGATGTCGATGATTTTGATACTGATGATGATGACGATGATGCTGATGATGACGACGACGACGGGGTGACGACGATGCTGCTGATGATGCTGATGATGACGACGATGATGCTGGTGGTGGTGATGATGATGATGATGATGATGCCGAGGATGAGGAGGACGAGGAGGAGCAGGACGA